TGCTGGAAAGACGTTGAACCGGGCACATTTACCAACAGCACGCGAAGGAAAAAGCATTCATCTTGATTGGGATGCATGGTGTACAATCTGCCTATCTTAGATTGTTTGAATATGCCAGGTTGTCTGTCGACTCGCTCTCCTCGTTTGCGTCGTTCAAATGATTTTCTACTCGCATTCCATATGTAATACGTAGCCACTTCTGCATACAGCAGTGTTTTCACAAACGCGTCATTCTGACATAACGTGAAGAAAGCAGTTAACATTGTAGCCGGTGGATTCATGGCTATTTGTTTATTGCAGCTGTGAAATAAATGCGTTGTCCATTTTCTTGTTTTCAAAACAAAAACAAAAAATACTAACCAAATATTTCAATTCAAACACAGATCAATCGACACAACTCAATTCCACCACCAACTGCACTGAAAAATAAGAACAGTTAAAAAACGATTGAAAATGAAATGAACGGTATGGTAAACAACACCTCAATTTCAATGCAATATCACACAAAATAATTAAATCAAAATGAAAATAAATCGATTACAATTTTTATCAATGCAATTGGAAACATTGAAATGGAATTGTAGCATATTTAGTTTTGTATTTGTAGCTCTTACATGCAACAGATGGCGCGGTTTAAAAGAAAAAAAACATATTTTTACCTGTCACAGGCATAGCATCTATAATGTAGGTATTTAAAAATGCGCGCGTATTCGAATCGAACGTTGTGTCAAAATTTTAAAGCAATCAGTGTAGAATTTTCGGAGATTACAGCATGTGTTGCTCTTACGTCTAACAGATGGTGCTGTTTTTCAAAAAATGCATGTTTTCGCTGTCACAGGTGAAGCATATATATAGTAGATATATAAAAACACTCGCCAATTCGAATGCAACGTTGTGTCAAAATTTCAAAGCAATCGGTAAAGAGGTTTTGAAGATTTCCTTCACAGGTAAAACACTTGAAAAACACATGAAAAACAGTTTTTCAAAAAAGCATGTTTTTTCCCATCATAGACGTGACATATATATAGTGTGGATAAAAACCAGCTCGGATGCAAAGGGAACGTTGTGTGAAAATTTCAGAGCAATCGGTGAAGAACTTTTGGAGATTAGCGATTTTGAACAAACGAACATTTCCATTTTTATTTATAGACTAGCTGTACCCGCCACGCGTTGCTGTGGCTCAGTTTGGTTAAATGGAAAAGAAAGAAAAGAAAAAATGCATGTGTCTAATATGTTTATTTTCACAATGCTTGTGGGTATACAATATTTTTTGTTGTTCCATTGTCTATGGAGATAAAGAGATGTCTGGTTTGCCGACTCTAGAACACGCAACATATAATTGTCCATGTGAGAAGCAATCAGTGTCTAGATGTAAATTGCGCAATTCTAAAGATTGGCCCTGAGCTTTGTTGATGGTGATTGCAAACGCCAATCGAATTTGAAATTACAATCTCTTAAATTGAAATGGCATATCAGTTGGAATCATAGGAATGCGAGGAATGAAGATATAATTACCTTTGAAAGGTCCTGTCAAGATTGTTGCTTCTACGACATTGATGATTAATTTTTTTACTGCAAGATGCGAGACATTGCAAAGTTTTGGCTGGTTGATATTTCGCAACATGATAATTGACAAGCCGATTTTCAGTTGCCTTATGTGTGGTGGTATCCCTGGCAGATCAAGTGAATTAAAAAATTCTGTTGGATAATTAACAGCTTCATGTGCTTCCTCAACAGTGTCGACGGACTTGTATGTGACTGACTCGCTTTGTATGTTAGACTGAATAATATTGTTCAGTTCGTAGACGTCTTTGCTCCTGGCGGCAAGAATAGCTCGTTCATTCAGCCAATCGTGATTCGTATAATTGATTTGTATATTGGGAAATACTTTTTCAACCAATTCTTCTTTTGACGTCACTAAATTTTAGAAGTTATGAGGCAATGAAATTCGTCCTGAGGTCAAATCAACCGGCACGTTCACGTTCCCAATTTCCAGAAATTGATATGAGAATATCTCAGCTGATGAATCGTTTTGCAGCTGGATACGCATATTTTTAGTTGATTTTAATGGCTTTACGTTGCACCACAAAGTAGAGCTTTTCAGGCAAGCATTTATTTCGTTTACAGGTGTCGATCGAGAAATTACCGGTAATGTTTGCATGAAATCTGCAAGCAATATTAATGCGTTCCCAAATAATCTGATGTTTCCATGCAAATCTTGCAATGATCGATAAAAACCCTCGAGCGATTTTTTCTGGGCCATTGTGCATTCATCCCAAACAATAAGTTTACATTTCTGCAATATTTTCACATGCGGGATACTTTGGAAATGCTGTATGTGGGAGTTTCCATGAATTGCATGTTCAATGGCAATTTCAATGTCGAATGAACAGTTCTTCCACCTGGTAGCAATGTCGCAGCTCTTCCGGACGATGCAAGAGCTAAGGTTATACCATTTTGGGATCGAAATGCTTTCCAAATCAATCTAATTAGAAAGGTTTTTCAGTTCCTCTTGGCGCATCTAAGAAGATTTCTCCAAACCCGTTATTGACAGTTTGAATTATTTGATTGTAAATGCCTTTTCGCTCAAGCGTTAGCTTAGGAATATTTGATTGCACATACGACAACAGATCACTCGTGTTGTAATTTTGTTCACGCTGCAATTATACATCGAACGTAGCAGCAGCAGATCGATTCGGTGAATGCATTTCCAATTGATTTAGAAATTTGATGGCGATTTATACTATACGATTTATACGATTTATACTAGACACTATACCGACCGTTTTTTAGACTTTTTTGCCTGTGTTATATGTGGGTGCTTAAGTTCAGTCTCTTGTTTATATATAGGCTAAGAAACTTTCCATCATTTTTATTGCTAAAGTTGACATTGTTTATCAGAATTTTAATGTGATTTGACGATTTACTACCAAATAAAATGTATTAGGTATTTTCTATGTTTAATGTGAATTTGTTGGTTGACATCCACGAGTGAAGCTTTGTTTAATTCATTATTTACAATATTATTTAGTGTAGGGGGGGGTTGGGGGTTAGAATAGATGAAGGTAGTATCGTCAGCAAATAGTATAGGTTTGACAAATCATTGATGTATACAAGAAATAGGAAAGGTTCTAAGATGCTGCCTTGTGGCACTCCTACTGTTAATGGTAGAGTTGGGGAAGTTATGTTATTGTTGATAAACTACAGGTAGATATCATTAAAGTTTTCGACTGGGCAGCAGAAAATAACATATGTTATACAGTGATAAACTCCAAGGAATCAGGTACGGTAAACATGAGAACCATAAACAAATTACAAGGTACAAAACACAATCAAGTCTGCCCATTGGAGGAAAGCAGCATGTAAAGGAATTGGAAATAATGATGTCTTAAGTCCTAACATTTAGGGGAGCATAACCAAGCAAATTGAGCATCAGTCAGAAAAATTATAGGATGGATTACGAGACCCTTCAGATCCAGGGATCCCATCACAATGGTTGTACTTTTCAAATCCTTTGTGCTGCCCTATTTTGAGCACAGCTCGATACTCACTTTCCCCTTCAGAGCAGGAGAGAATGCTGAAATAGAGGTAATACCGACAACATACTACAGCATACATAGAGCACCTATATTACTGGGATCGTCTCAAAGCTCTCCAAAAGTACTCCCTAGAAAGGAGACGAGAGAGGTATTAAATAATATTCATATGGAAAATACTAGAAGGCTAAGTCCCAAATCTCCACAGTAAAAAAAACTTACTGGAGCGAACGATATGGAAGGAAATGCAGAACAGAATCAGTGATTAGCAGAGATGCCTTAGGCACAATCAGAGAACATTGTGTAAACATCAGAGGTCCACAGTTGTTCAACATCCTCCCAACGAGTATAAGAAATGTTGCCAGAACAACCGTGGATATCTTCAAGTTAAAACTAGATAGTTTTCTTCAAAAAGTGACAGACCAACCGGGCTGTGGTGGATATGTGGGCCTGAAGGCCGCTCCAAGCAACACCTTGTTGGACCAAGCTCTCACAAACAAAGTCTGGCCCCGGGTTTGGGGAGCAATTTAGGAGAACAGAACCCCCATCCAGGTACAATCCAGAACATTATCACTGACAAGCATCCCTAACACGTTATTATAATGACCTAAAGCATATTAGGAGAACATTTAGACAACCAAGATGTCGCCTGAAAACTCCAACAAAATTTTTCATGGCAAAATTCTGCTTGATAAACGCATTGGAGTTTTACAGTAAAATGATAGAAGTCAAGCAAGAGATAGAAGGATGGTCAGACTTCATATTCCTTGATTATCAGAGAGTATTTGATGCTGTCCAGCAAAACGTACTCCTAATATAAGTAGAGAAGGTTTACCTTCTTCTACCTTTTTATCAGGTTTACAGTGCAAGTGGAGAAAGATTACAAACTCTATGCTCTTTCTAATATATGTCATCTACGTGACAGAAAATTGGCTCCAACATATCAAACATTGCCCTCGATATATAACTAAGAAGATTCAGGACAACGAGAGTGTGTGATAACTTGCAAATAGACCTGATCAGACCACTTATGATCGTTAAAATTTAACCTAATTAATTGCAAAATTTATGGGGAATGAGACAGGAGTGAAAATACCTGTAAAACAGTAAAAGATTAAAGCGATTCTCGTCAGAAAAGCAGAAAAACTTGAGAGTAGATATAACCCCCAAATTTAATGCAAGAAGTAGCTAACTGTTCAGCAAGTGAACAGTTGGACAAATACTGTATACCGTATATCGTATACCGGGACTAAAAGGGCCTTCTGGGTCCAATACACATCTTGTGTGATTATGCATCCCTGGCATAGAAACTTTACCTTAAAAATGACGTCAGAATTATATGAGGTGTAATGATTTGTTTCAGAGCTGAAGGGTTTGAGATACGCGGAAAGAAGAAAGGAACTGAACCTTACCGCACTGGAAGAAGTAAGAGACATGGGAGGACATGGAATGACACAAAAGGTTTTAATGGAAATTCTCAAAGTAGACGATGTACCATTGTTTAATTGTAGGAACAGCAGAACGAAGGGGTAGAGGTAGTAACTAGAGACACAAATGAGTCAGAGATGTCAAAAATAACTTTTCAGTGTTAACGTTTTCGTTTAGTGGAATGGGAATAGCCAAGAGGTCGTTGAAGCAAACCGAAAACACATTTTATATAGAAATATGATAAAAAAAAGGTGGGAACTGAGTGGCAGTGTTAATCATTGTATTACCCGGGAGAAGAAAGAATTCTCCACGAACTGAAGGGAGCTGAGAGGAGAGGAGGCAGCAATAGCCCCGCTGTATGTGTCAACGGTGGCCTTGGGGATGTCAGTGTTCCAGAAGGCCTGACCTCGCAGTCTGCCCAGGGAGGAGTCAGGGGGCGAGGCCTGCAGGAAACAAACACTCAAGTCAGTTCTCAATTAAAATTGTACTTTAAAACAATGTTTTTGAGTATTTTAAAAGTAGGATTTCTTCAGATGGTTTTAAAAACTAAGCTGCCAACTAAGCTCAAAATTATATGAGCTAAAGACCAAAATATAATTTAGTATGTGAAATTTTTGTGAAAATTAAAAAGTGTTAAGTAAGACGCAGAGTGGTGATATATAACACAACATGTAGGTCATATTTGACAATGTGTGAGCGTTGATCTCTTGTTGTCGTTTAACTACACTTAAGTCATCTGGCACCCCTCTGTACCTGAACAAGTGTCAAAACACTTAATGAAGGAAGTGAACTATTCTCACCAACGCACTCAAGTGTTCCTTTATCAACTTCAACAATGTCCGAACACAAAGGTGTACTGAGAATTATTTTATCTCCCCCCCCCCCACCCCTTGAGAGGTCCAGCTACAGCTGCGAGTTTGAGAATATTTCCAACAATTAACAGCTAGTAACGTGTAATCGCTACCATATGTAAGTGAATCAAGAAAACACATGTCGTAAACGAAAATTGGATAGACATGTTTGGCTGTTTAAAGACAATCTCCGACCATATCAAGATTTTATAACCTGGTGAATCTGGTAACGCAAATGAATCACCAGCCCGGTTGCTCGTGTTCCACGTGTAGTTTTGTAACTTACTCAGGAGCACAGGTATGTTTACAGTTTGTATAAGAGCTACATCATCATTCACCCTATATATATATATATATATATATATATATATATATATATATATATATATATATATATATATATATATATATATATATATATATATATATATATATATATATATATATATATATATATATATATATATATATATATATATATATATATATATATATATGCGGAAAGTCCACAGAGAAATATGAAATGAGGTGAACGTTTCGGCTTTGTTAAAGCCTTTGTCAACACCAGACTCTGGTGTTGTCTGGTGTTTGAGTCTGGTGTTGACAAAGGCTTTAACAAAGCCGAAACGTTCACCTCATTTCATATTTCTCTGTGGACTTTCCGCATAAAATGATCAGTGTTTTGTGATCGTCAATTGCATATATATATATATATATATATATATATATATATATTATTAAATATGACCGAAAAAGTAAGATTAATAATTCTAACACGAATTTTCTCAATCTTTCGTACATTTCTTTTCACTGTTGGAGGTAAATCAAAAATCAATTCTCCAAAATTCATTTTTATTTCTAGTCTGACGCGACACGAGCGCGTTTCGTAAAACTTATTACATTTTCAAAGACTTTAGTTCACAAATACACAACTGAAGAGAACTTACGCATCTCCGATTTTATATCTACGTTTGAGTGAGGTGGAAGGGGTGATGTGGCATTAACACAAGACAGAACAAGATGTGGCATTAATAGGGTATTAATTTCATCAACACAAGACAGAACAAGAAGTGGTATTAATAGGGTATTAATTTCATCAACACAAGACAGAACACGAAACAATGGATATTGAATAGAAGTGTTTGTAGAAAGCCTATTGGTCCATATTTCTTGATGCTTCTATATTGGAGCGGAGTCTTGAGGTGGGTAGAATATAGTTGTGCAATAATTGGCTGTTGATTGCTGGTGTTGACTTCTTGATGTGTAAACTACACATCAAGAAGACTATGAGAATTAAACCTCATGTCACTGGGAGACAGAAGAGTTAGAGGGGACATGATCACCACATACAAGATTCTCAAAGAATTGATGATAAAGACAAACTATTAACACAAGGGGCACACACACTAGGGGACACAGGTGGAAATTGAGTGCCCAAATGAGCTATAGAGACGTTAGAAATAATTTGTTCTTTCTCAGAGTAGTAGACAAATGGAATGCATTAGGAAGTGATGTGGTGGAGATTGACTCCATACACAGCTTCAAGTGTAGATATGATAGAGCCCAGGAGGCTCTGGAACCTGTACATTAGTTGATTGACAGGCTGGACCAAAGAGCCAGAGCTCAACCCCCGCAAGCACAACTAGGTAAGTACAACTATGTAAGTACACACACACACACAAACACATTAAGTACTTGTACTTAATTAAAATTAGAAACGTTTTAAAACGTCAGTTGTACGTTTGCAATAACGGTCTACGATTTGAGTGACTAAAATCAACGTATTTTATACGTTTAAAGACGACTTTATATAAATAGTTACAGTGTCAACTTTCTGCGACCAATTAACACGTCATAAACGTTTTAGTTTTTAATTTATAAAAACGGGAGTAAATATTACTCCCGTTTTTACTAAATTAAAAATAACAATTAAAAAACGGGTAGTAGTCACAGTAGAAGTCACAGTAGTATTCAGACTATGTCACAGTCGTAGTCATGGCAGTAGTCATGGTAGTAGTCATGGTAGTCACAGTGGTAGTCACGGTAGTAGTCACGTGAGTAGTCACAGTAGTAGTCACAGTAGTTGTCACAGTAGTAGTCACAGTAGTAGTCGCTGTAGTAGTCGCAGTAGTAGTCACAGTAGTAGTCACAGTAGTAGACACAGTACTAGAGAGAGTAGGTCACTTTAGTAGTCACATTAGTTTTCACGGTAGTAGTCACAGTAGTAGTCTCAGTAGTAGTCACAGTAGTATCACAGTAGTAGTCGCTGTAGTAGTCACAGTAGTAGTCACAGTAGTAGTCATGGTAGTAGTCATGGTAGTAGTCTCAGTAGTAGTCACAGTAGTTTTCACGGTAGTAGTCACAGTAGTAGTCTCAGTAGTAGTCACAGTAGTTTTCACGGTAGTAGTCACAGTAGTAGTCTCAGTAGTAGTCACAGTAGTAGTCACAGTAGTAGTCTCAGTAGTAGGTATAGTAGTAGTCACAGTAGTAGTCACAGTAGTAATCATAGTAGTAGACACAGTAGTAGTCACAGTAGCAGTCACAGTAGTAGTCATAGTAGTAGTCACAGTAATAATCACAGTAGTAGTCATAGTAGTAGTCACAGTAGTAGTCGCAGTAGTAGTCACAGTAGTAGTCACAGTAGTAGTCGCAGTAATAATCACAGTAGTAGTCATAGTAGTAGTCACAGTAGTAGTCGCAGTAGTAGTCACAGTAGTAGTCACAGTAGTAGTCACAGTAGTAATCATAGTAGTAGACACAGTAGTAGTCACAGTAGTAATCATAGTAGTAGTCACAGTAATAATCACAGTAGTAGTCATAGTAGTAGTCACAGTAGTAGTCACAGTAATAATCACAGTAGTAGTCATAGTAGTAGTCGCAGTAGTAGTCACAGTAGTAGTCACAGTAGTAGTCACGGTAGTAGTCACAGTAATAGCGCGGAAGTAGTCACAGTAGTAGTCGTAGTAGTCACAATAGCAGTCGTAGTAGTAGTCAGTAGTAGTTGTAGTAGTCACAGTAGTAGTCGTAGTAGTCAAAGTAGTAGTCGTAGTAGTAGTCACAGTAGTACTCACTGTAGGAGTCCCAGTACTCACAGTAGATTTCATACATCAAGGAACTTTTCCAATCAGAAGGTTTAATGTGATTGAAGTTTTTTTAGTTATACAAAACAATAATCACATATTTCTATCAACGTATTTGACTCACTTGGACTATCAGAGCCTGGTACCCGGGACCACAAAATTGAAGCCTGTAGTCCTACCAACTGTACTATGAGCACCCATAATTAGAAAGGGTCGAAAAGTAGCTCTCCAGGGAAAGCTTCAAGCTCCACATGGATACAAGTTTAGTGTCTCACGGATCTTTCATTACTGTGCTATACAATCACAAATCATCCTGCAAAGTTTGGTGAGGCTCGCCCCTAGCATCTGGGCCCAACCTCGAACAAACATATATATTTGCAGATATAGATTAAAGAATTTAATATATATAATTATATAATTCTTTCAGCTTACCATTAAAACTTGATGTGCATAGTTGGATTCTGTCATATATAGACGAATTTTGGAGTGCACCAACTGTTCCACCGTGTCAAAGGGCAATACAATCCTGGGAGAGATCAACATGGCGGCCATATTAGAGCGGTAGACGGTGCCCAGGATGAAGGCCGCCACCAGCCACACTCCGCACACCGCGCGCACTGACGAGTGACCCGGCATCCGTGGGAAATCTAGGTGTAGTGGAAGTAATTCAAATTGTTCCCATGAAGTTGCTTGAAGTTGGTTAAACAGGACATGACACTGACAAACATGTAGAGAAATACTATGTTAAAATTGCATATTGTATTAGATATTACATTGCGGAAGTAATTCTGTAATTATATCTCTCTTACATACACGGGGCTGGCTCTTAGTAAAGTAAAAAATAACTTGATGATTGTCTGAGGCTAGTGAGTTCAAGAATTAAAGGTTGCAAGTATATTTTATGAAAAACAAGTTATTATGGGGAAATTGCCATAAAGATTTATTTGTATTTTGTTCAGTTGTGTTGCAGAGTTTTACGGCATCTAAATTTCTGGTTGTTTTGAGGTGTAAGCAAACAATGTGGTGCACTGTGACGATAACGCCCTCTGTCGAGAGCACCCGACTCCATTTTCTGTTCCCTGGTGGAAGGTTGTGATCTTATTGATCCCTGTGTAGTTTCTTTCTTACTAACCACATTTATACTCCTCAGAAGTGGGTGGTACACTTGGTCGACAGGAATCAGTTCACCCAGGCCTGTCCTGAACTTAAAACGTGTTTCAGTGGGTACAAGTGGCTAAGTCGGTGTAGACAGTAATATGTCTGTGATACTTCGCAAAGTATTGGTTAGTGGACCGACGTACCCCGGAATGGCCAAGTTCAGTTTCGAGATGGAAGCACTGTCCGTCTGTTAAGGATTGTTATAAGCCTGTGTGGAAGCCTCCTGTGTGTTGCAGGAGACCTGTACCAGCGTGTTGCTAGAGACCTCTGCCAGCGTGTTGCTGGAGATCTCTGCCAGCGTGTTGCTGGAGACCCCTGCCAGCGTGTTGCTGGAGACCTCTGCCAGCGTGTTGCTGGAGACCTCTGCCAGCGTGTTGCTGGAGACCTCTGCCAGCGTGTTGCTAGAGACCTCTGCCAGCGTGTTGCTAGAGACCTTTGCCAGCGTGTTGCTGGAGACCTCTGCCAGCGTGTTGCTGGAGACCCCTGCCAGCGTGTTGCTGGAGACCTCTGCCAGCATGTTGCTGGAGAAGCCCTGCCAGCGTGTTGCTGGAGACCTCTGCCAGCGTGTTGCTGGAGACCTCTGCCAGCGTGTTGCTGGAGACCTCTGCCTGAGTGTTGGTGGAGAGTAGAAGTGGTGTTCTGGCATTGTGACAATACTGTGAAGGACGGGTCCATGATTTACTGAGAAAGGTGAACTGGCCGGCGTGAGGACCATAGAAGACAGACTCAGGGAGGGAACCTTGAGTGGTGTACGATAGAAGATAGAATTGGACTCATATACAGTGGGCCCATATACAGTTTTGACAAGTAAAGAACCCGGTTACTGGCTAAGTGAGGCCGTAAGAAGCACACTCGTGGCACACTTGTCTCACTGTGAGGCCCGCTGCCACTTTGTCTACTGGTGCTGGGAGCGGTTCCGACTCGGTAATGAATAATACCTCATAGAAGCTGACCTGCAGTTCCTCACATATTTCTTGGTGTTTTGTAACTCGTCGCGTGCCTCTACCACCACCTCACTTCTTAGTGGACACTATTTGTTCACTACTTTCACACTGAAGAAATTATTTATAATGTATT